ATGAAAGTACCTATATGTATGCTGCTTTCAGTGTTACATTTTTTTAAAGTTCATTATTAATAGTATTTCCAGAAGAGCATTGTGTCAGTAAAGCACAAAGAATTGAAAAAGTCTTGTCAAAAAAGCTTATTTACAGAGCTCATATATTTTGAATGTTTTAATTATTTTGTAATTTATATAATATTATCTGTTGTTAGTTTGCCAAGGTTGGGAAAGTTTGCAGAATTTTTTTTTTTTTAATTAGCCACATATATTTGGTAGTGTTTTTCTTGAAAAGACTTAAGTGGTTAAGGAGCAGGACTTTTTCTCCCTTAATTACTTCTGGTTTGCTAATGGGCTACTGCTGAGTAGTCTTTGTTAAAGGCTTAGAAAGGAAGGCCAAGTGGCTGTTGAATTTCTGGATCTTTTATTTAAGGCTGCCATCCCCCCTTCCCCCCTTAAAACACATATACACACATGTGTGCATTTATTCATTTACATTTATAGATGGCTTTCCTAAGGACATGTAGAAGAAAGTGTATTTCCTAGCTCTCTATGGTGGGATTTTTCTAAGGATTTAAAAAAAAAATAGTTGAGCTATTGAAGAGTCATGTCGTAGAAACAGTGTCTGGGTGAATGCAAAATTGCACAGTCTGTGGATAAAGTTACACATTCCAAGTTCAAAGAAAAAGCAATATTTTGAAAACATAAATGGAGCTCAAAGTCTGCATTCCTTTTAAAAGGCCAACACCTGTGGAAGGAATGCAGGTTGTTTCCACTTGACCTTCAAGTATGGAGCTGGGCGAGGTGCTTTAGATCTGATGGTGGTCGAGTAGGAGTGCCACTCTATACAGCAAGGTCTCCGGGGGCAGCACCTGTCCTGTCTGTTGTCAGGAAGGGGAAATATGGCAACAGTCAGGAATAGTTAGAGAGCGCCTCCTAACCCCTGCTTTGAAGAGCTTGCTTTGTATGCCACAGAATCCCACGGTGATGGATGAGTGGGTGTAGATAATGTGAAATAAGCCATAACCCCTCCAAGCAATCAGGCTTGCATTTTACAAGTCCTGGGAAACCCCGGACAAACAGTATGAGTACACTTAGGCTGAGTCCTCTGTGAGTAGTAGTTGAAGATAAAGACATCATTGATGTCCCAGACAGATTCTCATCATGCATAAATCATTCCTTAGGATGGAATCAGCTGCCTTGAGAGGTGCTTCTACTCCTTGAGGCTGCTCGCATTAGTTCCGCAGTTTATGGTGGTGTCTGAAGGACTAAATGCACAATTCGACATTGGGAGGAAAGTTACACATTGAACGCTCTTTTTGATTCAGGTGTTTATAAGTCCATACAACTTTTGATGGGAAAGTATTTTGGCCAGGCTCATTTGTCCTTTATTCATTAATTCTGTAGTTGTTTATTCAACAAGTATTTCTTAATTGCCTCCTGTGTGTCAGGATCTGTTCTCAAGTCTGGGAATACAATGTTGAGCCATAGCTGACACTGTTCCTTCTTAGACCACATAGTTGACTGTCCTGTAGTCATATCTCCTCTACAATCAAGCTTTGTGATCTTGGGCAAGTGACAAGTTCTCTCTATCTCAGTTTCTTTGTATAAATTAAATGTTATTTCTCCCCCCTCCCCCCCCAGTTGACCTATAAGATCCTGTTCAGAGCTAATATATTCCAGATACATGCTTTTTTTTTTTTTTTTCTCCAATTTTCTTTTCATTGTTGAAAGTATGACATAGGTACTTTTATCCCCATGGCGTACTTAGTTTGATGTTCTAGCAAGTGACTGAATATGGTGGTTCTGACTAGATGGGTATATTCAAAACCAAATCATGGATTGGATTTCCATGTGAAAATATACGTTTTCTGAGCATATCCCGATTTTGTGTATGCCAGCTGTTTAACTGTCAACATATGAGTGCAGTTTCTGAAAACTCACCATTATTTTAAAGAGAAAGCATAGATTCCCATTTTTGCTAGGAACATTTCAACAGTTCTGAAGGGTGATCTTCAACAAAAAGGATCATTGTCATGTTAATATTCTGCTGAGACACTAGCCCAGGGCAGTTGAGTTGTGTTTAGTTGAAATTCAGTGCTAACAAAACTATGCTTGGGTTAGGGTTGTTGAAGTTTGTTGTTGTCTATAATTTAATATTATTGGTAATGCTGATGAATCGACCATTGATTATATGACCTAATTTTGTAAATAAAGTTTATTGGGACACTCCTTTACATATTATCTATGGCTATTACAGGCACAACTGTGAAGGTGGGACAAAGTCTGTGTGGCTCATAAAACCAAAATTTCTAGTGTTCAAACAAAATTTTTAATCAATGAGAGAGAATGAGAGAGAGAGAAAGAGAGAGAGAGAGAGAGAGAGAGAGAGAGAGAGAGAGACATCAAATTGCTATTCCACTTATTTTATGTTTTAATTGCTGGATTCTTGTATGTGCCCTATCCTGGGGATCTAACCTACTACCTTGACCAATCAGGAAAACACTCTAACCACCTGAGCTACCAGGCCAGGGCATTTTTAATAGAAAGTTTGCTTATGCCTGGATTATAGAATATAAAATCTCAAGCTCCTAAAGTTATGTGGGACCATAATGTATTTTTTTTCTTTCTTTCAGGAAATGTAGTTTATATGCCTTTTTTTCTTTTCAGTATGCTTGTGAGAAATGAGCCTTGTTAATTTTTAACGTTTTTGAGATAGCAGAATTTGATAACTATATACCCCACAATTTTAATCTTTTGGGGGGACTGTTAGTTTCCAAGGGTTGGATCCACAGTGGCCTTGTTTACTTTAAAAGCTGGGAAACATAAGTTATTGCTAAAGCATTTTTATTGTTAAAAAGTTGGTCTTATGGCGCCTGAGATCCTTTCTTCACATTTCAGCTGTGAGGAGAGATTAGACAGTTTCAGTAGTACATAAGCACTCAGAGACATGGTTATAATCGCTCCTACAGTTTTCCTGTGTAGTTTACAGGGCTTTAGGGCTGGTGGGTCTGGCCCACAGGAGTGCTGAAGTCAATATTAGAGAAAGTTAGCCTCAGTCTCAATCCGGACCATCCATCCACTGGGCGAGGCCCCAGGTCTGAGTGTAAACCCAATGTTATACAACCAGGACTGCTGAACACAGTCAGAGGAGGAACCTGGAGTTGCTCCCCAGCATTTTCTCAGGGGCTCAGGAGCAGGTTGTGTAGACACGTCAGCTTCATTTTGAGATGATTCACATGTCTGTCACAACAGAATACATCCCAAAAAGGGGAAAATAAAGAAGTTTTAGAATCTAGCAGTGCTGCTGTTATGGGTTCAAATTTGCCTATGCCTAGGCCTAGCACATAGGTACTTTCTGAATAACTGTTGGTTTATTTAAAGTACAGCCTTTCTGGTATTTGAAGTGAACCAATGTAACATTTGTTTGGAGACGTCATGTTTACAACCATATTACCGAAAATTCTTCGTTTACTTCATCAACATTTAGTGAATGCCTCTATACACTAAACGCTTCTTGACCTCTTGGGGCTTACATTCTACTGGGAGTGACTGATAGGTAAAATACTCTCCTAAAAAGTAAGAAATGCCCAAATAAGGCATGCACCTGGACCCTAAGAATGTGGTGAGGAAGGGGGTGGAGACAGGGGCCGTTCTGAGAGGGTTCCCAGAGGAGGAGGATTGATTCTGACTCATCTCTAGGGAAATATGTTCTTTTCTTTAGAAGGGAATACATACAGTGGTCCCCCCTCATCCATGGTTTTGCTTTCCATGGTTTCAGTTTCCCTCCCTCAACTGCCTTCTGAAAACATTAAATGGAAAATTTGTATTGCAGGTTTGTATTGCACACTGTTCTGAGGAGTGGGGTGAAGTTTCCCGCATCCCGGAGTGGGGTGAAGTTTCCCGCATCCTGCTCCATCCTGCCTGAGATGTGACTCACCCCTTTGTCTGGGGCCTCCACACTGAATACGCTCCCAGTCTGTTAGTTAGGAGCTGTCTTGGTTATTGGATGGACTGTCTCTGTGCGGAAGTGCTGTGTCCCAGTAATCTTTATTTTACTCAATATTTTTTACATAATAATATTTACTTAATCCTTATTTTACTTAATATTGCCCCAAAGCGCAAGGGCAGTGATGCTGGCAATTCGGATATGCCATAGAGAAGCCATAAGGCACTTCCTTTAAGTGAAAAAGTGAGCACAGTGCAATAAAACACTGTGAGAAACCACATCACCTAGCCTTTATTACAGCATATTTATCAGTTATAATTGTTCTACTTCATCATTAGTAGCCTCTTTCTGCACCTAATTTGTAAATTAAACTTATTGTAGGCTTATAGGTGTAGCCAAAAAACATAGCATACATAGGGTTCTGCCCCATCCTTAGATTCAGGCATGCACTGGCCATCTTGGCACAGGCCTCCTGCAGATAAGCAGGAACTGGTACATGTATACAGCATGCATACAGGCTTCTAGGACAGGCGAGGGGGCAGAAGCTCAGAGAAGGATCTTGGGGCATCCCCCACCCACCACAGTCTAACTGCACAGTTTTCCCCTCTGCCTGGCCTTGCCTGAGGTAGAGACATGTGCAAGGACAGGTTGTGTAAGCCAGACAGCTTCCATCCTAAGAATGAAGCTCGGGGAGGGATACACTGTGAAGCACACCCAGATGCACATAGCACCATCAGAGCTGCAGGGGGCGAAACCCAGCTATTACAGTATTCCCCCAACCCCACATCCCCTCCTCAGACACCCCCCCCCCCCCCCGCCCCGCTTTCCTGGGTGGATTCTGCTCCTTGCCCTGGCACTTCATAGACTCTCTTCCTTCTTCCCAGGAGATTTTATAATTAAATGAGATAAAGGCAGGAAATCTGTAATAAGTACTAACTTCCATGTATGCCAGGTTTAAAAAAAAAAATGCATGCCAAAAGGAAAAAAAAAAAGAAAGAAAAAACCCAACCCAGAGGCAAACCTAGTCTGGTGGGAAGAGATCAAAGGGCAGCCGCGTGACCAGCTGGCGAAGGGATCTTTTCCCAGGAGGCCCACATCCTGCCCTTCAGCGCGGACACGGGAGGAAGTGGTGTGCAGCGGCCTGGGTCTGAGCGAGGCCAGTTCTCAGGGACCTGGTTTCAGCTCCAGGAGTGTGCCCGTGAGCATGGGAATGGCCAGCACACATCTCCTTGTATTCATACACACGGCTGCGGGAAGCGCGGTTTTAAATTACCACTCCCACCCCTGCCACCCCCTTAATCCTGAAGAGATGTCAGGCCCAGATAGACCTCGGGTAGGGGACAGGCCCGGGAGAGCCTTTCTGACAACCCCATATCGAATGGCCAGAGAGCCTGAGGATTGGGTTGCAACAGGAATACCCTAATCTTGATTTCATTGTTTTCCCCCCCGCCTGAAAGGGTGGGATTGGGTTTGGAGGTGGCTGGAGAGTGGGCAGTGGAGTTGCTGACACCATGTAAGGAAAACCTCCAAGGCTGCTACTCTCATTTGGAGGGCTCAGCAAAAGGGCCAGCAAACAAGCCAGCCTCTGTTTTCTAATCCTTCCCGCTTCTGCTGGCGAGTCCTACAAAGGCAGGCAGGCAGGCAGCTGCATGGAGGCGCTGTGCGGCTCTGGGGACGGGAAGCTGAGTGTCAGCTTTGCTGGGCTCTGAAATTATTACCTGTGAGTGCAAGCAGGCCAGGCCACTGCAGCCAGGCCTGGGGGCGTGGAGACCCCTCCCCCGCCTGGCTGTCAGCACTCGGAATGTCCACAGCAGGGGATTTATGCCTCCTCTCCGCCTTGCAGTGCTTCTGTAGATATACTTAGCCATGACAATGCTGGTTTGGGAATTTCCCTAGGATGGGCCAGGACTTGTTTCCAAAATAACACCTTTCAAAGCATGCAGAGACTTAGAAATTAGATAATTGTGTGATATTTATAAAATGAATTACGTTGTGTTAACAAAGTCAGGACAGCTGTTTCTGATGCCGAAGTAAATAACACCTTATGATTCATTAAGGTTGGGGGCAAAGAGGCTTTTTAAAAAATTGCTGCTTTCCAGCTGAGTCTTTGCAAAAAAAAAAAAAAAAAAAAAAAAAAATTGAGACAGCTCACCAAGTAGGTAATACAGTTTCAAGTTAAAATGTTTATGTCTACGTGTGCGTGGCATGGTTAAGTTGTCCTATTTCACTCTTAAAACACTTAGTGAGCATCTAAAATATGCTTACACATGTATGCAGAGAGACACAAAGCTAATACTTCACTGCTCCCGTCCTCCATGACTTCTCAGCCTAGTGAGGGAGACAGATGTATAAACAGATAATTGCAATTCAGTGAACTAAGTGCTAACAGAAGGATAAAAGGAATGCTATGATGGTATGAGGGGTATATCCATTTACAGTGCAAATGGAAAGCAGGGAACAGCTACTCACAGGAAGTGACATTTGAGCAGTATTGGATGGAAGAGGGGTAACTTTGAAAGCGGAGGAGGATGAGACCTTCTTTCAGCTCCTCTTCTTCACCAGCCTCCTCTTACCTTACGGCCTTTGCACAGTCACTCCCCTCTGTCTGGAAAGCTGTTCCCACTGCCCTTCCTCTGTTCAATCCTTTAGATCCCAGTTTCCATGTCACCTCCTTGGCAAGCTTGACTCTCTAAGTCACATGTGTCAAACACAAGGCCCGCGGGCCAAATCCGTCCCGCCAGGCCTTGCAATGTGGCCCGCACCGCGCTGTCATCACTGCACTCCGCTGCATTTCCATTACAATGACAGTTTATGACTGTTCAGTAAACCATTCGGCCCGCGATTTAGGCTGGATTTTAGATTTTGGCCCCTTCTCTGATTGAGTTCGACACCCCTACTCTAAGTCAAAGTCTCTCTCTCTTATGAGTGCTCGCTCATCGCGCACCTCTCCTTCTGAGCAGTTATCACAGCTGCACTTTTACATTATTTGCATGATTATTTGAATATCTGGTTTTCCCACTAGGCAGAGATTGGGGCTTTTGGTTCATTTTGTTTCTTGACTTAAAGACATACTTGTTGAATGAATTAGATGAAGATGCAGCTGTGAAAAAAACAAACATGCCCTCAGACAGCAGCAAGTAGCTAGGAATTCTGGATCTTGGGGTATGTGAATTGTGAGAGGCAGAGGATTAAGTCATTTAAGGGACTTGGAAGATCTAACTTGTTTATCTGTATGCTAGCTCATTTAATGTTTTTTAGCATAAACAATTTTTTAAAGATCTGTCTCTTAATTATTCCATTATCAGTATCGGATGGGTTAAGTTGAAGATGAAGTATTAAAAATATAAAGGTGGTTGTTTGCATGTGGTTTTGAGGGCTCAAATATACTTCTTAAAAATTGTGATTAAGGTGTAACATTCAGATAGAAACATACACAATGCATAGTGGCACAGCTAGATGAATTATGACAAAGTGAACGTATGTATAACTCCCACACAAGTCAGGAATAAGTGGGCTTCCTGGAGCCTGAATTGTAAACATCAGTGTGTGTGCTGAGCCAGGAGAGGAAGGATAAGGTGGAAGAGTCCCTGTCAGACTCTAAAAGGGCAAGCTTTCTGGAGAAGCGAGGAGGGGGATTCTCTTCCAGCTCACTCGTGAACTTGAGGAAGTGGTGTGAGAGCGATGCAAACCGCATCGTTTCCCCATGCATCCCAAACAGGACTGGAGAGCTCAGGGCCAAGGTTGAGCTGAGATGCGGAGGGACATGAGGGTTCCCCCGTCTTCCCCCAAAGAGTCACTGTCATCCTTCTGCCTCCTCACAAGGAGCACTGTTTTCTTAGCACTTTCTTCGGTGTGGAGCCTAAGAGCGGAGCTTAGATCTTGTTACCCCAGCATTCTGCAGGGAACAGTGTTGACTTAGAGCTCCCAGCACACAGGTGACTTTGGAGTCCCTTGTGACACAGGAGAGCTGGAATACCAGGGTCTGAGTACTTGGTCTGTCACTCACTAACTGAGTGTTCTCTAGTAATTTTTAGCTAATTTTTGGATTTCACTTTCCTTATTTTTTTGGTGGAGATAATAATGCAATTGACCAATAGTAGAGTTATTGTGAGATTGAAGCATTCTATTCATACATGTAAAGTGCTTACAACACAAGCCAGCATATAGTAAGCACTCAATAAAAAGAAAGAGACTCCAGTTAAAAGAGCCTTCTTGCTTTTGTCTTTCAGTGATGGAGATATCCCTGATGGGACACCAAAGTAATGTGAGGACTTTTGAGAGATAAGATCAAAGGAGACACAATAGAGTAAAAGGATGCATGAAAGGAACAATGGGCTTTGTAAATAGTACTAAAAACAGGGCCTGGTTTTCTAGACTAGGACTTTATATACATAAATGGTGGAGTCATGGATATGGGTGGAATGCGTTTCAGGATGAAATAGGAAGAATGCATGTTGAGAGGGAATATCAATTTGATCTTCAAGGTCATAAGCTAACATTTGTGTTGGCAGTTGGGGAAAGAGATGCCATAAGGAGACTGTAAGAATGGGGAAAGTAATAAAGGATGACCTAGGAAGAACAATCTCAATTCCTCAAAGAAATGTTAGGGAAAGGAGATGAGTATTTATGACTCAGATATCTAAACTGCATGCAGATTATGGCTTAAAGAATAAGATAATTGGAAATTAACCTAGATAGATAAAGTCTAGGTGGCGCTGAAGTAAAGAAGTACTTGTTCTTGGATACCATAGTAGAAAGAGAGGAGATAAAAAGGAAGAATACACACACACACACACACACACACACACACATACGTATGTGTGAGCAAACATCTTTCTTCCATGTCAGGTACTGTGTTTGAGATTTCTGCTTATTATTTTGTTCTATTAACAGTTATGGCAACTCAGTATCATTAGTCCCATTTTGCAGATATTAAAACTGAGGCTGAGAAAGTTAACTACTTTGGGCAATACATTAAATACTAACCAGGGATTAGACCTAAGGTCAAATTTCAGCCCAAGATTCCTTCTATTCTATTATATTGACTCTCTTTTATTTATTAAGGAGATATTCACCTGTACTTAAAAACAAATTTTATATTTATAGATAGAAACAGTGAAAGTAGCATTTGGGGAAGAATAAAAAGGCATGAGAAATAAATGATAATATTGTGGTCATACACCAAAGAGTGCCAGGTCACATGGAGGAGTGTTTATATGATGGTTTTTAAAGCTTGAGTTACAAAATTAACATAGTAAGATGACATGAGGGAGGTGAGACTTAATATGTCCAGACCTTTGCAGTGAATCTCATTTTTGCTAGAACAGCAGATGGTAAAATCTAGACTTTTGAACAGTTATTATCCCTTGAATGTTAAGTAAATAACCAAGACTCTCAAGTGCAAAGTTTAATTTAACAAATATAGAAACTTCAAAATGGTTTTGGGATGGCAGAAACCCGGGGGAAAGTTACATTATTTCAAAGCCCAGAACACGGGAGAAAAGAGTTAGGCACAGTTACAGCTCTACCTCAGACACCAAATGGCTAAGAAACTTTTGGTTGAATGCCAGTTCTCATTGTGTGTAGCTGTTCCTTGTAGTGTTTTGCTGTGAAGTCTTTTAAGACCATAAGTTTGAAAAGTCAGTTTCTGTGTGTGTTTGGACAAGGAAGATGGCTTCATATGTGCCAAGTCTGACCTAGCCTTTAAGAGCAAGATTCAACCTAAAGAAGACATATGAACTAGATTAAACAGTTTTTTATTAGCTAGTATGTTGAGGTACTTTGTTCATATCATGTCAGGCTTTTCCCCACCCAATGCTGCTGCAGTTTATTTTTAAAATCATAAACGAAGGATTTTCTGTTTGTTTTTACTAAACTCCATTATGCAAGTTAGCACCACTGCTCTCTCATCTCAAGATCTGATTCAGTGGCTGTGTATGTGAAGGCTCTGGTGTGCAGATCACTGTGCTCAGAGATGTAGAGCGGTTCCTAGAGTGGGAGTCTCAGGGAGACTGTGATCCAGTTATAAAAACACACAACAAAAACCAAATGGCCATCATGGGTGATCACGGTGTTCTGTGTGTTAGGAGAGGGATAGAATATACTCAGTGCGCAGTGAGGAACAATAGCCAGATGACCTCTACACTTAACAGTGGAAACACTCTGTCTTTCAGTGCCTTATACAAAATAGACACATCA